GTAGACTTTAGAACAAAGAAAATTACCAGATCCAGAGAAGAACATCACACAATGACAAAAGGCCCACTCCACCAAGACTAAGAAACCCAAAATGTGTATGTACCCAACAACAGGACTGAAAATACAAGAAGCAACACCTCATAGACTGAAAGAAGAAGCAGACAATTCTACATTTAGATCTGGCAACTTCAACAGCTCTCTCCACAACTGACAGACCTAGACAGGAAACACTACAGATTCAGAAGAACTCAGCAACACCATCAAGCAACAGAACCTAACTGGCATTTACGAAATGCTCCTCCCCCAAAACACAGCACTGTCCTCCAACATTTACATGTTGGTCCCAAGATAAACCACAACAAATTTGTTAAAAACAATAATAATACAGATTATGGTTGCTGACCATAAAGTGATCAAACTAGAAGTCAATAATAGAAGGACAACAGGAAAAATGTCCAAACACTGTACTAGGAAACTAAATTACATGTGTCCAAGTAATCCAAGAGTCAAGAGAAAGCCTCAGGGACATTTAAAAAACAAAACAGTTGGTGATACAGCTCAACGGCACAGTGCCTGCCTAGCAAGCATGAGGTCATGAGTTTGATTCCTGGTACCACAAAAGTAATAATAACAAAAAATAAAAACAAAACTGAAAACACATAAAATATATCATGTGATCACCCAGTATGAGCAGAGCACTGCCAATAGCACTAGATGTTTACACTGTAAAAGAGGAAAAGACACAAATCAATAAGCTCCTACTCAAGAAAGGAGCAAAGTAAGCATAAAGCAAAATAAGAAGAAAATTACAGAGTAAAATTAAATGGAAATGAAAACAAAAATAATACAGAAAAATCAATGAAACAAGAATCCAGTTCTTCACGAATATCAATAAAATTAATGGACTCCTAGCAAGACTGACAAAGAAAAAAGAGAAGATAACGAATTAACCTTAGCAAGAATGAGAAAAGGGTTATCACTACATAAGATGCAGACACCAAAAGGGCAGTAAGGAAATTTAACACATAACCACAGCACATACAATGCTACAGCAATGCAATGCACTGCAATGCAATGCACTGGTTCTTCAGAAAGCACAAACTACGACAGCTCAACCAATATAAAATAGACAGCACAGCCTTATAACTACAAAGGAAGCTGAATGGTTTAATTTAAAAATTCCAAAAAAGAAAAGTTTCTTTGGTAAATTCTAACAAATACCTAAGAAAAAAGTAATACCAGTTCAACACAAGCTACTTTTTGAAAAGAGAAGAGAGAACAATGTTATTAAATTCAAAACACTGCACAGATCCAGTACTCCTCTGATTCTCAAGTCAGACAAGGACAGTACAAAAAAAGAAACTACAGGCCAATATCCCTCATGAATTTTGGGTAGAACCCCTTAACAAAGTATAATAAACAGACTTGGACAACATATAGAAATAATTATGCACAATAACTGATAGGGTTTATATCAAAAATGCAAGGTCAGTTTAATATCTGAAAATCAACCAGTATAAACAACCATATTAACAGACAAAAAACTACATGATTATATCAAATGATGCAGAAAATCATTCAATAAACTCTAACCACTAATGTTAAAAACTCTTAATTAACAAAAACTCATTTTTTTTTTTATTAAATAGACTTAGAAAAACTTGAGCAATCTACAAAGACATGCCTCAGGCAAATATAAGCCAAAACCACATCATTTATTTAAAAATTTTACTAAGATGAAGATACCAAATGTTCAGGATCTATAGGATACAATTAAATTAGTGATCAAAGGAAAATCCATATCCTTAAATAATCATGTAATAAAAAGTAAAGAATGAAATAAAATATCTAACTCAAGAGGCTATAAAAAGGGGCCAGGTATAGAGGTACATGCTTATAATCCAAGCACTCGGGAAGCTGAGGCAGGATTGCTGTGAGTTTGAGGCCAGCGCAGGCTACAAAGTGAGTTCAAGGCCAGTTTGAACTGCATAGCAAAACCCTGTCTCAAAAAAAAAAAAAAAAAAAAAAAAAAGAAGAAGAAGAAGAAGTTATAAAAGGAACAACAAAGTAAAATAAGTAGAAAGGAAATAATAAAGACAAAATGACAGAAAGTTATGATTTTAAAAACAAACTATAGTAGAATCAGGTACATGTTTTTCAAAAGTTCAATAGTTTCAGCAGAGGAAGTATCCAAAGCAATCACTCATTAGTAGCTATTTTAACTGGTGATCAGGAAAAAATATTACTCATTTTATGTCCTAATATGATAGTCAGTGGCTTTTCAATGTTCAACTGTGCTTTTAGTTACATTTTAGGAAATTGGGGATTTCGAATTGACATGTAATACATTATAATTTATTGACATTTTAAGTAACAGGAAAGGGTTAGGGTGTAGCTCAGTGGTAGACCTCTTGCCTAATGTGTGAGGCCTCGGGATTCAATTCTCAGTATAAATGGAATGAATGGAATATGAAATGAAACAAAATTTATAGAAAATGGGATTTTATTCAAAATATCTGATTTTCAGGAATGGAACAGTGAAGTTGAGCAAAAGCATGGTATTTTAAACCTTATGTGGTTTAAACATAGTATGAAGAAGCGATAGAACATATCTCACTCAAAGCATCAATCCAAGTACCTTATATAAAATACTAAGCAGAATCCAAGAGTATATTAAAAATAAATATAATAACCAAATGAGATTAATCTAAGATTAGAAAGATAGTTCCACATTAGGGAATTCATTGCTGTATATCTCCATATTTAAGGGAAAATATAGGATCTCTACGGATATGAAAAGACCAACAAAATTCAATACCTCTGCTAGATAAAAACACATACTGCAATAGGAATTAAGGGTTACCATACCACAACACACAGTCCTACAGGCCCCACACCAGAATCCATAATTTAGTACAGGCAGAAACGAAGTAGTGGCACCCATTTACTCATCAACACAACCAAACAGTAACAGGAAGCCTAAGACTTGGAAAGGAAGAGTTAGAGCTCTATTTATTAAAAATAGACTTAGAAGTAACAATAGAGAATCGACACTAAAACTAATAAGCAATTTCAGGACTCAAAAAAGCAGAAGGATATATAATTAACATGCAAAAATCAACAGCCTAGATTCTTGCTTCTAGCAGAAGTAACAGTAGTCATCCCCAGTCCCCAAAAGCAGCAATCAAAACCATCAGACATTCAGAGAATAAAAAGCCAAGTCACAGACTGGGATAAAACACTTATAAAACAGATGCCAAGTAAAGATTTATATCCAGCATATACAAAGCATTCTTCAAATTCAGTAATTATAAAACATACAATCCAATTTAAAAAGTGGGCAAAGAATAGGAACTTCATCAAAGAAGAGACACAGATGATAACTAAGCATAGTAAAAGATGCCCAGTATCATATGTCCTTAGGAAATTACAAATTAAAACAAGATACTACTATACACTTAAATAGAATGACTAAAATCCAAATCACTGATAACACCAAATACTGGCAAGGATGTGGAGCATCAAGACTTCTCACTCACTGCTGGGGGAAATGCAAATGATACACTCATTTTGGAAGACAATTTGGTAGTTCCTTCAAAAATAAACATCGTGTTAGCATACAACTCAACCAACAAGCTCTTGGGTATTTACCCAATGAGTTAAAAATGTATGTTCACACATGAATCCCTAGAGCAGTTTTGTGCATAATTACCAAAAAAAGAAGTAAGCATGATGTCCTTCAGTAAGTAAATGGATAAACAAACTGTGGTATACCCAGACAATGGAATTTACTTCAGTGCTAAAAAGAAATGAGCTATCAAGCTACACAATGAAATGCAGGAACCTTAAGCGCATACTGCTAAGTGCAAAAAGACAGCTTGAAAGGGCTGCACACTGTATGACTGTGTAACATGCTGGAAAAGGCAATACTCTCAGCAAAGTATATTAGTGACGGCCAGCAGGGATGGACTGCAAGGTATACTCAGGGTGGACAGCAGCTATATCCGGGCTCCTGTGGACAAAAACCAGGTGGGAATCCTGGGCTTATCCTTAAGCTAATCCAGAGGGAATCAGATGGAGTCTGAGAAGACAAAAACTAACTTGCACTCATGAGCAGTGAAGCAAGCAAATGACTATGACCAGTTTTCTTCCGAGGAACCTAAGACCAAGGGCAGGCTAAGCAGCTAAACTCCACCACCTTCAACTGTTTTACCTAGGATCATGTACTGGGCTACAGTTTCTGGTGAGTGGCCAAAGCAAAAGGACCAGGCATCCGCATGTAGCTGCAACTGCAAATGTGGGCATGCATGCAGGGTACCTGTGCAAGCTCACTTGTCTACTCAACAGCTATACACTGGCCTTTGTTTGGTCTTTCCCCTGTGCCCTCAGAATGTTTTGTCCTTGGTGCTCATGAGATGTCCATGTACCTTCTTCACTGCAGGAGGAGCCTGGATTTGTTACCTGCAGGTTTCTCCCTACTAGACTGGCTGGTTCACCCATGCCCTAAGTGCCTGCTCAGCTGGGGTCTTGGTACACGAGAGCTGGAGAGGAAGAAAGGGCAGTCTAGGCAAAGACCTGGGGCAGCCTCCAAGAAATGCCTTGGAGGCACGTATCTAGGTAGGATAACTTCCTCCTCACCCATCAGCTCTTAGCCCCAATTAAGCAGCCACAGTCAACTACAAAGGGTCGAGACCATTTTGTGGCCTGTCTTTCTGACAATACTTCCCTCTTCTGTGTTCTAGCACTCTAATGCAGTACCTGGCAACTCACAAACATTTTGGAAGGGAAGAGAAAGAAGCTTAACCTTCAGTTGCCTCTAGGTCACTAAAAAGTCAGGTGATATCAAGGGACGATGTTGACAGCAAAGGACTTTCTCTCCAACTAAGAGAACAATTGAAAGAGGCAAGCTGGCTCCACAGCAGCCACCAGGGAGCAAGAGGGAAGGGTAGATGGATCTGCACAAAGTGACCCTTGCCCATCTGGCATACAGAGATACTCACTAGGAACGGCTGTGGTCTCCCCAGCAGGGCCTGTGAGTGTCACTGGAGGATGCACGGTGGTGCTTGGGTCTGAGGGTTGACCACCCATCCGAGTGACATTCCGCTGATTGTCTGCATCCTCTGGTTGTTCCTCCACCTTCTGGAGACAGGTACTGGGAAGTGTGTGCACAGTGCCCACACCCATCAGTCCACCAGCCTCCAAGTCACAGTGAGTTTCCCTGCAACCGAGAACACACATCTGAGCTTGATGCAATCTCAAACTCCTATTCAGTCTGCAACACCTAGTTCCTTATACTGCACCCAGGATAAGTAAATCCTACCCCTTCCTCTGCTGTTCTGTCTTTGTATGGTTCCTATCACCCTGTACACTTGTCTTTAGGTCCATGTATGGGGCTGACACCACCATACATATACACACACACAGACATAGAGACGGAGATCTACAGAACAAAACTGCTCACAGAGTAGAGCAGGATGCTTCCTTGGGCCACTCCACCAAGTGTCCCATGAGGCCAAAGGCCCAGATCAAAACTTTGCACACAAAGGCAGGGCCTCGGCTGGCTGGTCTTGAGCTGTGGCCTCCAGTCATGCTTGTCCTGGTTGGTGTGTGGCCCATCAGCAGCAAGCAGAGGGACGCTGGCCTCAGGCCCCAGGCTCCCTTTCCCAGGCCTCCTGTAGCATCAGAGCCACACAGCCTGGCCCTTCCGGCTGTACTGCCCTGTGCTGCAGCCCCTCCATCTTCCCTCAGAGTCTCTGGCCCCACCCTCTTCCACAGTGCCAGGCCACTCTGCTCCTCCTGGTCAATGCATCCTGAACACAACCACTCTCTCCTGAGCCCTCTGTTCCTTGGGGTGGCTTAAAATGATGTCTGACACTCGCTGAGCACACTCTGTGCCAACTAGCTTTGAGCATTTTGCCCAGAGAAAGGGGCCGACAGTGGCAATAAGGGCTGCCTGGCCTGGTCACTGTGTCCCATCAGCCAGGACACTGGGGCATCATCCGGGCCAATCGTTCTCCCTCCCTGACACAAATGGGAGCCTGATTTCTGGTCACTGCCCATCACCAGCCCCACTCCAGGCCCTTACATACTTGGGCTGGTGGTTCCGGATCTCCTTGTCCCCTTCCAGGGCCTCGCTGTCCTTCTCCACCGCCTCCTGTGAGGGGGGTGCCCTGTGGCGAGTGCGGTGCCGACGCCCAGGCTCCTCACTGCTTTCCACCTCCTTGGAGCCCGTGCGGGGCCCCCTGTGCCGCGCTCGCCGCTCACCCTTGGCCACAGTACCATCCTTGTCCTTGCCAGGGTCAGGCCCATGCCGGTGAACGCGGTGGTGGCGCCTGCCACCCTCAGGACACCGGCCACGCTCTCCCCGGGCCTCTTGGCTGCCCGCAGCCTCCTTGCTGCGGCTATGACGTTGACGTGCACGCTCCTCGCGGGACCCAGGCTCCGTGCCATCTGCTCGGTCCCGGTCTTGCTCGGTGGCCGAGGGCAGCACAGCCGGGGCCTTGTCTGTGTCCCGGTGCCGGTGGTGCCGTCGCAGTGCATCTGTAGCCTCTGTGGTCTCTGTGCCTTCTGGTCGGGCTTTGCTCCCCGAGGGACCCCGCGGTCCGTCTCGGCCAGGCTCCACCACTAGTGGCCGGTCCAGGTGTGTCTTCATGTCAGGCCGCAAGTGGCGTGAGGTGGCATAGCGCAGCCGCTCCTCAGGGTCCATTTCGCTGTACAGCGCCTCACAGCTGGCTCGCAGATTTTGCAGCCGCAGCTGGCTGGCCCTCTGCTCCCACACCGAGCGCGCCCGGGCTGAGCTCTGCTGCCTGCTGCGGGGAGACTGGCAATGAGTGTCACTGCCCAGCCGCGCTGCTGCGCAGGGAAGCCAGAGATGGACACACAGCGATGGAGGGATGGTGAGGGGCGCGGGGAGAACGGGAAGAGGGGCAGGCAGCGGGGGCCCTCAAGACCCCTGGCAGAGTGATGCCGCCAGGTGGGTAAGACCGGAAACCTGAATTCAGCCCAACCTCCCTCAGGTATCCCACAGGACCACACAGAGGGACAGCATCAGGCAGGGGAGGGTGAGCTCAAGGCCACTCCTGAATAGGTGGGCAGCAGTCCCAAGTCCCAGGAGTGCAGAGACGGGTCAGTTGGCACCAGCAGGAGTTGGCAGAGGCTCCCAGAAGGTGGTCAGCTAGCCAGGAAGGCCCAAAGGGGAGAAGACAAGGGGGAGGCACTGGGAAGACAGAGTGCTCCCTGGAAGCCTCCCTGGGGAGCTGGTGCTGCCCAGTACTAGAGCAGAACTGCCTGAGAGGGGCAGGCAGGTGGCTACTTCCCCAGAAGCTGTCCCCACCCCACTTCCCAGAGGAGAGCTGCAGGCCACGAGATCAGGGACACAGGAGGGGGTTGGCACCATACTAACCACATGCAGTCTAGGGACTCTCAGCTACACTTTGAAGTGGTCAGCCCTGACTGGGAAGTCACTTGACTCAATGACCAGGCGCTCAGAGGCCAGGACTGGGGCTTGTGACAACCCTTCATGTGTTTATCAACGCTCTCCTCTCCTCTCCACAGGAGACCCCTCCCTCTAACAAAAACAGAGCCAGATAAGACAGATCCTTGGGGGCCTCCAGCAACAGGAGTGGCCAGTGGTCCAGGCCTTCACTACACAGGATACCTCCGAGGCCTGGTCCAGTGTCCAGCCTCACTGGTCTAGGGCCTCTCCTGTTCCTATATCATAAAGAGGGCTCCACAGCACAGGGTGTGTGGAAAGTTCTGGGCCCTTTGCTGAATAAGGCACACTGACACCACTGACACCAGGCAGAAACCTCATTTGAGGCCAGAGCCTCGGCCTCAGCCTCTGGAGTCTTCTGGACAGCCAAGGCGGTGGCACCACTAACAATGACAGCAGCAGCATCAGTGCCCTGGGCTTCATGCCTGCTTTACCCAGCCTTTGCAACCACCTCAAGGACAGATGCCACTCTTGTGCTGGCTGAGCTAGAAAGGATGTGACCTCCTCAGGGTCCACAGTGAGTCACTGACGGAGCTAGGATTAAAACACATGCTAGGTGGATGTGAAGAAATATCTAGAGAAACGCCAGGCCTCAGCCAGATCCCAGCTGCCTGGAAAGCACAGCTGCAGCTGCACTCGTGGAGCCCAGCCTATAAGGCCACCTATAAGGACTGTCAGTCATGCGTATGAGAGGCCCTGTCCTTGCCATCACCCTATTCAGGGTGGGTGGAGAGTAAACCTTGTCCCTTCTCCAGTGTGGGAGCCACTTCCATGACAGCACTTGCAAGAGTGAAGACAGTATTTGTATCTCTCCCGAGAGCTGGGGTGGTATAGGCAGGGCAAGAGTAAAGGCTCGGTCCAGGCCAGCCACCTGCCCACCCCCAGCACTGAAGCTGCATTTCCCTTACTCCCTAGGATGCCCTGCAAAGACCCACAGGGTCTTTCCACCTCCACTGGGCCCATCTCTCAGCAATGCTGGACAGTATAAGATGCAACAGAGCCAGGACAGGTATGCCCCAGGTGTGCCAGCTTAGTGAGGTTGCTGCCTCCAGCCTCAATCCACTCCAGCAGTCCAAGCTGGACCTAACTCTTAAAACCCTGGTCAGCAAGGAAGAAGCCACAGCCCAGGGCCAGCACCACAGTCCTGTCACAAACGATAGTGAAAACAATGGGGAACACACAGAAGCTGAAGGTCAGACCAAATGGCTCTGCCCTCAATCGCTTCCTCAGGTGGGCTCTCTCCTGCCTGGGAATCACCTTAAGTACAGCCCAAGATGCCAGACCACCTGGTGGCTAAGGGAACCATGGGGCTGGTAGGGTCCTCTCATGACTACCAGGCAGTGCAGGACACTGACCAATTAGGTAAAGGCCACCTGCCCACCGATCCCATTCCTTGGGGTTCCCCTGCCATGCATCTGCCCCAGCCCACTGCATCACTGGGTTCTCTCACAGATCCCAAGTCTGAATCTTCACGGTGAGGTTTCCCTCCTTGGAGGATCTGAGTCATCCTCCCCTGCCCTAGTTGCTATCTCTAGCCTTGCTTTGTCTGGTACACAAACCCCACTAACCTCTGCTCAGTGTGGGCAGCACAAGTCTCTCACTCTATTCTTTTCCACCAAGGTCACAAGCAGTGCAAGAACCTGAGAATGAGTTGAGCCACTCTCCAGCCTCCAGTGCAGTATGGCTGGCAACTCCAATCTAGGCAGTTCCTCCTTAAAAGGGGCTCATTAAGGAATCACAGAGAGAAGTTCCTCCTGTGATGCCCTCACCCAGCATGGAGGTATAACCTAGCTGTACCAGGGAGGACAGCTCACCACACCAAATCAGGCACTGTGGGCAACTGCAGAAAGGAGTCTTGAGTGTCTCCAGGCTGAGACAGCTGCTACCCATAACTGCTGATGTATGAGGCAGTCCTGGTAGAAAATGTCCATGCCTAAATCCACATCTTGTTCATTACATGGATCCACCATGCTGGCCTACCCCATGAGACATCAGGGTCCCAGTAGCCAGCAGCAGCCAGTGCTTATAGGAAGACTGAGCCTAGCACTATGCTGGCTGCCAAGGAGGCACACAGGGCAGGGATGGTGTAATCCTCACCACCATCAAGATGCAGGAAGGGCACCTGGCTACTCCATTCAGATGTCCCAATTGCAACTGACTATTTCAGGGACTGTCACTGGCCAAGTCTAGCCTCTCACAGGGAAACCCCAGAGGGCAAGCCATCCAGAAGCATCCTGCAAGAGAAGCTGCCCAGGGAGAGGTCAGCCTATTATGCTGGTTTCACCTCCAGAAGGGCCAGACCCACGATTCCTCTGGCTCCACCTGACCCACGTACCATGAGCTCCACAGTGAGCTCTACTTACACTAGAACAGACTTTCCCAAGAAGCACTGATACATTCCCTCCAAGCAGAAGTTGGGGGGAACTGTGAATACCCCTGTGAGCTCCCAAGAACTCTCTCTGCCATCGCTGCACAGGCCCTGGCCTCACTGAGCCCGTAGCATCAAAGAACCAGATGATCTGAAGACACCAGAGTAATCGCACACAGACTGACAGCAGACAAAGAGGCAGAGACTAGGAGGAAGAGGAGGAAGGGTAGAGCTCAGAGAGGGCGTGTTGGGGGTGTGCCCACTAGTCCCAGCCAGTGTCCAAAGGTGGGCCTGGAGCTGCCCAGGAAGCAAATGGCTGAGATGGGAAAGCAAAGTCAGGAGCGGAGGGCAGGTGTGTGCATGTACTAATCATGGAGCCACGGATGGAATATCGTAGCAGAGCGACTCACGGTGAATTTACGCTGGAGACAGATGAGCTGCGAGATACAGTACCTCGAGTTTGCTTTACAAAGCTGCACATGCAAGAAACAAAACACAAACAGAAGTGAGAAAACTGAGAGAGAGTTCTGAGAGACACTAGCACTACTCATGCCCAGTGAGTGCAGGCACGGGCAGTGGTGCACCTCTGGGCAAGAGGCGAGAGAAGTGGCATCAGATGGGCAGAAACCTCAGGGTAAGACAGAAGTTGAGAACCAATTCCATGTGTGCAGAAAAGAAACTAAAGTGAATATGGCAAACCCTGAATGGCTGGAAGACAAGAAGCAGTTATATGAGGCCATGGGTCAATGGTGACTCAGGCCATGCTGCTCCAAGAATGGCACTGGGTTTGACCAGAGCCACTTCTACAACCCAAACAGCCCTCCTCTCCGCTTCAGGGCTTGGGTAGGCTCACCAGGTGGGCTCCTGGCCTTCAAGATGAGCAGCCGGGCAAGTGCAGGAGGCAACAGCGTCCTCCCCTGTGTATGATCAGCCCATCTGCCTCCCACGAGCATCTGGTCCCCACTCCACTCCAGCCCCTCAGCCCTCAGGCTCAAATACAGCTGCTTCTAGTTCACCATGACCCCTCCAGGGGCAAATAAGATCACTTACTAACCCATCTTCCACTTGGCTATGATAGCCATTTCCCAGTGACCGTGTAGAAGCTTTTCCAACAAGAAAAAACCAGAAGTCTCTCTACAGCCATTACCTTTCACACTGGCTTCCCAGGAGCGGGGGATCCTTCCTAGGGTCAAAACCTCTACACAAATGTAAGGAGCACAGAACAGACCACCTATCCAAAGGACTAGTGAGACAGAATATGTTTTAGAGAGTTGAGTGTGTTGGGAACATTAGAGTGTGTGAGATTGTATATGACTGTGTGTGAGATGAGTGAGGTTATGAGGGTATTAGATGGTGTATGAGTACGTGTGCTAGTGTATAGAAGCCCAGTGGGGACCCAGGTACTACCACAGAGAGAACCAGGAGGAGGACATCAAGCCCCAAATCCCTCACCCTCACAGGAGTGTGAAATGGTTGCCCCCAGGGCCACCAATGCAGGCCTGACCATCCTCCTTTCTCCGGGAGTTTGTATGGCTCATCACCTGACCCACGCACTGAAGGCGTCTTGACACCTCAGGTGCCAGCCTCACCACATCCCAGCAGAGCACAAACCACACACATGGCTTTGGGAAGCAGGGCCAGGATGAGGGGCCCTCAGGGGCTGTGCTCTCTCCCCAGCTCAGTCTGCAGAAATGAACACAGACATCTTGACCCTCAGCAGTCTCAACATGACAGGCAAGAAACAGCAGCAGCTGCAGCCTCACACCAGCACCCACACGCAGCAGGACAACCCTCTCCCAGCTGGGGCTTCCCCTGCACCCCAGACCACCTGTGGTGTCAGGGTGCTGACTACATGCCATGCGAGCAGCATCACAGAGCTGGGCCTGCAGGATCTACAGCTAGCCCCACAGGCTGAATGTTGGGCTGTGACCTGGCTCTGGAGTGGACACAGCACTCGGCTTGGTGAGGTAGAACACCAAGGATGCCCAGGACAAGAGCACTTTTCCCATCCAGAAACCACTGTGGTGCACAGGCCAACAGCTGGTATCATGTGCCCAGTGCCCAGGGTGCTCCATGCCTGCACCCGGTGTCTCCAACAGGGCCAAAGGTGATGAAGACAGCATCTAGACTTCCTTTTTGGTGGCATTATGCGTGCTTCAGGGCTGTGGCAAGGGCCCTGGCACTCTCTTCTCCAGGGTCATGGCCTGGATGGGAGTGAATGGGATTCTCATTCTTCCGGAACTGGTCACCCTGAAGGGGCCCAGGGCAAGCATTCACTCCAGGAACATGGAAAGGTGCTAAACAGAAATACCACAGGCCACAAGGGCCACGAGCTGAACAAGTCAAACACCTGCTTGCCATCTCTCCCCCATAGATCCCACTAGTGTTTAGAACTCACATGGAGGGGCACAAGGGGCAATGCTGCTGGGCCACAGGAACCTCAGGACCAAGGAACTGCCTTAAATTGACCAAATAGCTAAATAACTGAGTTGGCCAGATGAGGAAAAAACAGAACAATACAACTGATCACAGAGCCTCTCCACAGCCAGGCTACCATGTCCACAGCTTGCCTGGCTCCCTGCAAGGGCCCCTAAGGGCTGTATCCTTTTCCCACTGAATCTTCCCATAGACAGGGCTTTTGCATGGCTCAGAGAGCAGTTCTCTGCAAATGCCACCTCCACGGTAACTTCAGGGCAGGAACAAGGCCACCAGAGTGCACACACACTCATATGCACACTAGCAGCTTCACACAGACACACATTTACATGTTCATGACCAAGCAACTCACACACACTCACATCCAGCATGCTCATCCATGTGCTAACACACTGCTCAGCAGTGCAGACAGAGTGAGTCCCAGGGGTAAGTACCTCTGCTCTGCTGTTACCCTATGACCAAGCTTAGCCAGCTTTCCTGCGTCCCTCCTCAGAGCTGCCTTCCCCCAGCCCACTGCTGCCTTTGGCTCAAACTCTAAAGTCCACAACCCGCCTAATGAGGTGACCAACTTCCTTCAGGATCTGTCCCTAGCCCCACATTTACCCTTCTCTCTCAGAAGCTCCTTGACTTCTGGTCCAAGGCCAAACATTCTCAGGGACATGTCTGGAAGCTCCATCAAGTCTCTTGGGCTGCTGAAGCAGAACCCCTTGGCTTGCCAAATATCTTTCTGAAAAACTATACATAAGAGCAACATGCTGACTCCTCACCCCTGACTGACTCTCAACCTCTGTCTGGAGAGGGCCCTGGAGCATCCAACACCATCCAGTTAGCCAGTATTACAGCACAACCAATCCCACCTTGAATGTAAGGACATCCTGCCCATGCTCAGCCAGGGAGGAAGCTGCAGTGCTTTTTCCCTGTGCTTTCTCCCCCGCCCTGGGGAAGACTGTGTCCTTACAAGTCCTGGTCAAGGCAAGGAGAGCTCTGAGGAAGTCTCTGGAAGGGGGTCCTGGTGTGGCTCAGCCATGGACTCTGCTACTGCCCATGCCACCCACAATCTGCTTCTAGGAGCCTTACGCAGCAATGGAGATGTTGGCGGCAGACATGGGGCTGACTTCAGCCACTTCCTTGGCTTTTTGCAGAGCAAGCTTCTGATTGGCTGCTTCCTCCATTTCCTCTTCATCCTGTTTAAGTAATAGAAACAGTTGTCCCTTCACAATGTTATGACCATTCTCATACCATCAGCTCTTGCTCCTAGGGTCTCTTTGCCCCTCCTTCCCTCTGTACCATAGAGCCAGGCAGCCAGCTTCTGTGTGTATAAGGACCCCCTATGACCTACCACACTAACTCTCTCTAGTGCCTTTCAGGGCTCTGTCCTATGTCTGTGGCTCAAAAGCGATGGTTCCAAAGTTTGACCATTAACTGTAATGTCAACTTTACTGGATTAAGAAATGCTGAAGGGATTAGTAATGTGTACTTCAGGGTATGTCCATGTGGGTCATGGAGGTGTGACTTTGGGTATTAAATGTGGTTCCTGATACCTTCCTTTGGCAATGTGTCTCTGCTTTGCTTCTTGACCAAAATGAACTAAATATCTTTGCTCTGCCAGGCTTTGTACCATGCTTCTGCTGTGAAGCCAGCCAGCATGGACTGAATACCCTGAAACTGTCAGCCAAATTAAACCTCTCCTCTAAATTGTGGGTGTCAGTATTATTATTATGTCTCAGCAGTGAGGGAGCTAATACTGAAAATTGACACCAGAAAAGTGGGGTCATTGCTGTGACTATACCTGACTATGTTGTTGAGAAGTTTTTGTAACTGTGGCTATACCTGACTATGTTGTTCAGAAGTTTTGTAGGAATAATTTGAAAAAAGTCTAGATATGAGCTAGAGAATTTCTAGAATGCTGTAAGGAAAGCCTGATGGACAAGCTCAGAAGACCAGAATGTCAACAGGAATTTGAACAGTAAAAGCCAGGTTCAGGAGGTTTCAGTTGGGAACAAGACTTCATTTGCAATTGGACTAGAGACCACACATATTACACTCTGGCAAAAAACCAAAGCAAAACAAAAAACTCCAACTGTCTACATTTTACCCATATCCCAAGACTGCCAGAGACTGAGATAAAGGGCAGTAGACTAATTGATCTGATTAAAGAAATTTCAAAGCAGTCCAACATTCAGGCTGTAGTATGTACTACTGGCTGATTTTAGTCAGAATTATACTGAGAATCAGGGACAAAAAGCAAACCAAAAAAATTTGAAAAACTTAACATTTGGTGCAATAGGAACCACATGTAAAACTGAGATTAAAGGTAGTGTGGTTACCAAACAGCTTAGCATGATTAAAAAGAAATCAGATACTTTATATAGGCTCAATAAGAAAGATACCCTAAGGGCATCCCAGGAATCATCAAATGTGCAGAAGTGTAATAAACCATTCATTTGAGAAGAAAGTCCCTGTACCCCCTGCTGAAGAAGGGTCATCTAAGGAATTGGTTCCCTGGATTCATTTCACATGCTCAGCCATCCAGGCACTGCCTGCCCTAGTGGAAGATCTTGCCATTGTCCACATGATGATGATTTTACTGGCATACAGGATGCAGGAGCTGTGGAGTCAGACAGTCTTCCACCCAGATTTCAAAGGAAGGCCTGGGAGGCCAGGCAAGGTACTCCTGAGAGGTGGGGAATAAAGCAAAAGGTGCAGTAGAGACACCAGAAAGTCAGGAGCTAGCCCAAGAAAGAAGACATGTGGACTGCAACCCAGTTCTTTTCTCTCTGTTCCTCCTTTTGCAATAAGAATGTTTACCTTGGGCCACTAGATGTTAGAATTATGTAACTTTTTTTTTTTTTAAACAGAGGTTTGCAACTAAGAATGTGTCTTGAGCCTCAGAAAAAACTTGGACTTGGACTTGTGACAAATGTTGGCACTGCTGAGACTTTGAGGAGGGTATTACTGTATTTTTAATTACATGCAAAATAACTATAAAATGTTAGGTGGAATTATTGACTTATTACTGTGTTTATTTGAAGAGTAAGTACATTTTAAGGAGTACATTTTAAATTTTGAGTGTCAAGTTGAAAAAGGATGGATTGTAACCATGAATTATGATATGTCAGCTTGACTGGATGAAAATACCTGGCGGATTGACAAAGCACACTTCCGTGTACCTGTAGGTGGGTTATAGAAATGTAACCTTGAGTACTAACTATGGTTCCTGGGCCCTTCTTCTAAGGTGCTATTCCCTTTCTCCGCTTCTCCGCTGCAGTGAACAAAGCATCCTTGTCCACCACGCCTTTCCGCCATCTTTCTGCAACACCAGCCAACCACGGACTGAATCCCCTAAAATTATGAGGCAAATTAAACTTCTCCTCCTTTAATTTGTGGGTTTCATGTATCGTGTCTCAGCAACGAGAAGGCTGACTACTACACTGAAGTTCCTGCTTCAGATCTTCTCAACCATGCCATCTTCCAGTGTGCTCATAAGCAAGTGACCCATATCTGTGCTTGCACCCTGACCTCACCCCTGACCTCAGGCACCAAGCTATTACCCTGATGTTTCTACCTGTCTGTACCATGCAGTTCAGACTTAATGGTAAAATACAAATCTGGCCCTCTTTTCATCATACCTGCTTCCCCAGGAGCACTTGTCCCACTTGAATAATGCTGACTTCCATATAGAGTCAGGAGAGAGAGCTAGTACTGCCCAACACTGCCCCCGGGGATTTTACCAGGAGCACTCCAATGGGGCTACACACCGCCTTTGAGCTTTTCTCCTTGGACTCATCAGATCACACCTATCCAGCTGGCCCCAGCTATGGCTATGAAGTTCCACATGGCTCCCTGCCACCAGAGCTGGACATGTGCTTATGTGTGAACAGGAACCTCTGCCTCCTGCCTAAGAATGGACATCTGCACAGACTCTAACTCCAAGTCAGTAAGCATAACCAATATGCTGTGCTTTTGGGCTCTGGATCAACAGATCCAGGCTGAGTTCACAGCCCAAAAGGGGCTATCTGAGGAGCCAAAAAACTCTCAAGCCCAGGCCCACTGTTTCCCCTGGGACCTTGCATTTCTAACATCCCCCCACAAATATCCATGAATCTGCTCTTAGAGGCACAAGAATGGCAAAAATTAAACCCCCTGATAGCTGCCTGAAAATTTCTTTCATAAAGAAGAGAGCCTCAGGTTTCAGGCATAGCAAGAAGACAGAGGTAGTCTGCACAGAGCACTCTCAGCAAGATCCTTCTCAAAGACCTAGAATCACTCCTGGTTAACAGCCCTCTGGGGCATGGGCACCCTAATCATTTCAAGGATTATTCTGAAGTCTTCTAAAAGGTCTACAAACAATTCAATGTAAATTTATTCCCACCTCACAAAATAAAGAACGATATATTTGTGGAAATACAGTGGCACTTTGGTTCATGAATGCTTTTGTTAGCAAAAATTTGGTAAAATTTTTTGTTTGAAAACTCCCCATCAGGTGACAAACACAACCATGGTCATCTTTTCCACACAATCATGGACATGGTCATATCTTCCAAAACTGTAGAACACATTAAGTTTGTGAATTGAAATATCACTGTATAAAGGAAGGGAAAAGTCATGTCCTATACTCGGGGATTCTTGGCCAGCTGAAAAAATGCCCTGTGGTCAGACAGACTGGCCTCCATTAGTCCCACTTGCAAGGTGGGGAAACCCCTAAGTCAGACCCAATTACAGAGGGTATACACGTGTGGACAGGTCCTTGAGGACATTACCTCCACTACAGATCCTCATCCACAGGAGGATTTGAAAAGAGAGTGAGCTTTGGGACTCAAGCTCACCTCTGTCCTGAGATAGCGGATATCTGATCACCAGTGCTGCAAGGCACCTCAAGTTCATGCAGTCCCAGAAATCCTGACCTCCGTGGATACACAGATGTATGGGTTCCCCCAGCCAAGGCAGCCCAGCCAGGATCTAGACCACTCTGAGACAGCAAGACTAAGCCTTAGCCCCTGTTAATGACAGCAACAGGAAGCCCAATGGTACTGCAGAGTCACAGCACAGGCCTGAGACTACCCTGAGTAGATAGCTGCAGTGTCCAAGGCAATGAGGTGAGGACGACCAGGAAGGGGCCCATGTCAACAGAAGGAAAACCACAGAGGGTGACATGTCTAATCACATCCCCCACTGGGCTCTCGAAGGAGAGATGAATATTGAATGGCACCTGCTGGGCACTGCCTGGAGAAGAAGCCATCCTGCTGTGGCACAGATGTGCTGACAGAGCACCAGCTGCTCCTCCAGGCTCCAGCCATGCCCAGAATCTGAGGCAACACTGTATGTGCCCCCTTCAGAGAAGGGTCTTCCCTACAGGCCACCTCGTGCACACTTGTCATTAGGTGATACTTCCCCAACATCGCATATTCGCTCTGATGAGAACATCTTTGGCCTTCACTGCTGAGGCAGGGGCAGCACTCTCCAATCTGCACCTCCTGACAGACACCCCTCCTGCTTGTTTAGGCCTTCTCCCTAGGCTACAGTTGCTCTGGAAGCTGTCAGTCTGCCTTCCTGGCCTGCTTTCTTCATGTTCCCACGGCTATAATCCTACATATCCTGAGCCTGGTATAACCTCCATCTGTTCAGACCTTAAGACATCCTCTGAACAGTGGTTACATGGAGCCATAACCCAGCACCTGGCCCTCCCCATGACTCTGCAGCCTCATCCAGAGTGACCTGGACTAACTTCCAGCCTCTCCTGGTACCAAGGCTGCGAGTGGCACTCCTACCTACCTTGGTCAGTTCCTGGGCGTTGGCGAGGTTGTCCACAGCAATAGCCAGGAAGACATTTAGCAGGGTATCTGGTGGTCTCCAGTTAAGGAAGGTCAGAGACACATCAAGGCTGCCCATGGAAAACATGGGCACCCATCTCCCCAGATCACAATGTTCCAGCCTCCTTCCCTTGGCACCTATTGCCCCCTCAGGCCCCTATTGTCCACACACACACCCCAGTTCACTTATCAGGCCCCAGTTCCCTTTCTCTCCCCCGATAAACCCCTGTCTAACCACTCCTCTATTCAGTTTCATACCACCCAATCTCCCCTAGTAGGCACATGGACCTTTCCTCACCCAGCTTTTCAGGGCTGCCATTGAGAGGTTGTATTAGGTCAATCTGCCTCTGAAGTGGGCACAGGGTCTGCCTGCCTTGGTCTTTACCTCTCTCATTTTCTGGTCAGCACGAAAAGCCTTACAATCAACACCTGTTTTCACAGGCTCTAGCTGGGGCATCTCCTAAGGCAGACAGTCAATACACAAACCTACCTGTGACTACCATGACTATCCTATTTCAGTCCTAGGTGGTGCCCAGATGCCTGCCAGTCTCAGCTGCCACTTCCCTTTCACTTCAAATTGCAACATGGACTCTTGGGTGCCCTTCCTTCCAGGAGCTCTCCTGAATAACATCAGAGCTAGGGAGCGTAGAGCAGCCTGAGCATCCAGCACTGTATTCACCCTGACCTGATCCCAGGAACCCTGTGACAAGGGGCTGCCTCTACCCTGTTAACAACAAGGAAGCCAAGGCACTAAAGTAAATGACCTGGCCCAGGTCCCAGGACAGCACAGGTCCTCTCCAAATCTCTCTGCGGAAGACCCTCACTCTATCACTACCTTGAGTCACTGTGATGTTCTTGCAAAAGGCATCTTCCTCCCATCACTAGGCGCTGCCCCTGCCCACAGCTCATCTCTCTGTTGCATGGCACTATTATAGGACTGTGCCCTGTGATGACAGCAGGCCTCCCTACTGTGCCCAGCACTGGAAAAGTAGTGGCTTGCCACCAGACCACAGCCACAAGCCTGCCCTTCTAAGTAATCTCATTGTTTTGGGGGTCTCAACCTTGGCACTGCTGACACACTGGGCTGGGCAAGCATGGCAGGATGCTGTGCCGTATCCCTGATCTACTCAATGCTTGTAGTCCCAGTCCTAACAACCAAAAATGTCTTATGTATGGAGGGCTTGATCCCCAATGCAATGAAGTTCAGAACACTAAGCACAACCATGGAATGCTACAAGGCCCTTCCATGCCTAGAGCTAAGGACCATGCCCTAGGGACCCAGCCAAAGGGACATACAAGTATAGCAGAAGCCACCCCAACTGGACTCAGCAGGGGCACATGGCAGGCGACATGTCTGGCCTGAGTGTCACGATCCCACTCAGCCAAGCCACTGCTTTTCCGGCACAGTGGTATTCCCTGGACATCACTGACCATTGCTAAGGCTAACACTGCAGCCTCCTCCCTCTCCCAATCACAGAGGTTTACACTGGCCCAGTCCCACTCACCTCCAAACCAAATGCTGCTTCCCAAGACCCAGCCCCTCCTGAGGCCTCACGCCCAGCCATGTGAGGCCAAATCCCCACCCTGGGGGCCAGGACCTGAGCTGTCACCCACGGGATGCCCTTGCAGAGGGAGAAGTCCCTGGTGGGGTAGCCCAGGGAGTCAGAGGAGAGAAAGCAGGGGACAGAAACAGGAGAAGCAAATTTGGAGGTGTAGGTGCTCACCAAGCCAGTGAGAGAGACGAGGAAGAATGGAGGGTGAGATGGCAAGGTGTAAGGAGGACAGTGTGCAAAAAGGTGGGAGATGCTCAGAGCAGGCAGGCCGGCTATGACAACTTGAAAGATGTTTGTCTCCAGCTCAGGCCTTTCTTCAAAGTGTTACAGGAGGATTTTCACAGAAGTTCTCCAAGCAGATGACGCAGCCCAGCAACACTGGCACCCCTGGGAGCCTGGGAGAAGGCATACTAGAAGGCCTCTGAGATCTGACACAGGGCTACTCTCTCCACGGTCCACTACCCCAGGAAGCTTCAGAGCCAAAGGTGCTCTCTTAGGCCTGAATTCCTACTTGAACTGGTGGCAACCACCTTTACAACTGGCTTTCCTGCCTAAACTCTGGCCTGCACCACAAACCCTATGGATCTTCCCTTCTGGATTCCCCTGGGCCTCAACAAGTTTCCCACATGGCCTGGGCATGAAGCAGAGGTCAACAGCTACTGTGCCTGCTTGGTCCTGCCCATGCCCTTTCACCATCAGGCTGTAGACAAAGCCCTCCACAACCCTCCACAGAAGTCTCTCTGCCAGGGCTGGTTTGTAGCAGGTTGAGGTTTCTTAAAGCCGGGCACCAAAACTCTCTATATTAAATCAGAGGGGGAGGAAACCCTGCTGCCCTTGGCATTCCAAGTCCCCCATCTTCCTGTGAGCCCCAGAAGACTGCTAGAGTGTTTCCTGAGACACAGTGGGGGCCCGTCTGCCCCACATCTGCCGCCATATGTAGTGCCTCCAGACCAGTCACGTGGGCTACCCCTGGAGATCTCAGCACCTGCACTCAGCTCTGAGAACACGCAGCTGACAAGCCCTTCCCCTTCCTTGTCCTCCTGAGGGAGTCAAGTAGTAGCCACAGGAACCACGTTCTGAGTACTGACTACCTCCATCGCAGCTCCACAGAAGGATACAGTTTCCAAACAGCGTCAGGACAATGAAGTAAAAGGAGGAGAACATTCCTTTGCTGACCCCACCTTGTGACTCAATCCCATGATACATCACTGCATTCCAGTCTTCTCCTGTCAGGATCTGCAGGAGGAGAGCACCACAGGGCATACCTGCACACACCACATGCAATGCATGTGCACACATCCAGAGTTGGCCAGGGCACGCCCACTTTAGGGCACACTCAGGTCTCTAGATGAAGTGTTTCCAAAGGACTAGGCAGCCTAGGATCTTACAGAAACATGCCCCAAAGCACATGGCTACTGACCTGAGTCACGTTAAGAAACAAACGTGCTCTAGGTTTTCAGCAAAAGTGGAAAAGGAGATTTGAGAGAGGTGAGCAAAGGCCAGCAAGAGGGCAGCCCTACCACCATGGAGGGAGTTGAGGGCAGAGAGGGCACGAGCTGCTGGAGGTCATGCGATGGATATGGGACCTTCACTCTCCCAGGCTCTGCCATTGGGCCTTGTGCCTTCACCCTCACAGCCTGGCTAAATACAGCCTACCCCAATGAAAGCCTGCATGTCTACTTTTTTTTTTTTTTTTTTTGCCAAGTACAGGGAGATAACAGGTGTCCACCACCCAAAGTAGAGACTGTTGCCAGCAGCACACGCCTATAATCCCAGCACTGGGGGTGGGGAGTTGAGGCAGGAGGATCGTTGCAAGCTCAAGGCCAGCCTGGGCTCAAAGGGAGCTCAAGGCCAGCCTGAACTGCATAGCGAGACCCGGTCTCAAAAAGACCAAAAAAAGAAGTAGAGACTGTTAACATTTTGTCACAATTGCATAGGCCCACTACCCGTAATCATCCTCAAAGGGAACCCCAACCACAGCTTTACAATTCTGCAGCATGCCATGTACACCTGTGTGCAATGCAGCTGTGTGCTAGACATGCACAGGAAGGTGTCAGCCACACGCCACTGCTCCACCTGATGTTTTCACTCCATGTTCTACTTTCAGGTTCACATGTCAATACATAAAAACCTATCCCCTCATACAAACACCAACAGCTTTCCTCCCCTTTATCAATTTTTAAGTGCTCTCATACTGATCTATGAGATTTCCTTATACATTCTTGCATATCCATTTTCCTCCTGACAGCACTTTTAAGTTTTCAATATTGTCTCCCGTGCACATGTCAAAGTCTGTAGCATGGAAACCACTGGGCAGCAGGCCATGCACATCTCTGACTTTACAAGGTGTTTCCAAAGTGACTGTACCAATCACACCCCCACCCCCACCCCGAGCAGCACAGGACAATTTCCTCAACCCTCATACCACCCATGGCATCGTCACACCCTCTGGTGTCCCACCTGTCCAGGGGCCGTGAGACCTCTCTCCCTTACCCCACATTTTTGATGGCACATCTTCTTACTGATCTATGAGATTTCCTTATACATTCTTGCATATATCCCTCCACTATCCACAGTACCTACTGGAAATAAGTTTCCTTTATTCTTATTTTAATATTATAGTCTCACTTATTTTAGTATTATAAAGAAGTTTAAGCCAGGTCTGGTGGTACATAACTATAATCCAAGCACTCTGGGAGGCTGAAACGGAGGATCACAATGCTAAGCCCAGTCTGAGTAACTTACTTGGGAAAGTCTCAAAATTAAAAAATAAAATGGCTAAAGGCATGTGGGTTCAATTTCCAGTACCAAAGGGAGGGGGCCTTAGTCAAATGTGTCACCCTTTTCCTTTATAGATTCTATTTTTTGAACCTTTCTTTTCCCTTTTCTTTCTTTTCTTTCTCCCTCTTTTCTGTGGTGCTAGGTATGGACCCCCAGGCTTCAAAGCATGCTAAGCAAGCACTCCTCCACTGAGCTACACCCCCAAAAAAGTTTGTTTTGTTTTGTTTTGTTTTTTGAGATAAGGTCTTGCTAAACTGCCCAGGGTTGCAACCTTCCTGCCCCAGCCTTCTACCTGCGATTATAGGCATGCACATAGTAACTGACTCTAATAATTAAAGCATTAATAATGATTAAAACTTGATTTTTCATATTTAGGTCTGTACTCTAGCTGAAGTTCTCTGTATTTGTCTCTTTGTATTTATGTTATTCTGATTTTTTTCAATAAGGAAAATCCACCTTTCCCAGACCCATTTTTTGAACACTCCATCCTTCCCTGTTGGTGAACTTGTTTAACTGGGCACTCCAGTCTGTTCTTTGACAGTGTCTTTATATATACCATACCACCACAACTGCAGCCTCAGAGAAGTCTTGGTATTTGGTAGGGCCAAAGCCTCCTTCCTTACTCCCACATTCAGAGCGCTTGCCTGCTCCACTCCTCAAGCATTTAGTGTCCGCAGGGGATAAAGTTTGCCGTGGAGCTCCCACCCACTGCATTCTGCCTGTCTGAATTGTCCTTGTGTGGCTTTGGTGTCAAGACTGCACTCACCTCAGAGTGGTTCCTTCTCTTCACTGAGATGTTGGTGTAAGCTAGCTGCCAACTGTTCTTGACAGCTGGATAAAATTCACCTTATAACCAATGGGCCCAAGGGAGAAGGCAAGAAAACATAGGAAAGTTTTGACTACTGATTCTGTTTCTCTAATGACTATGAAATGTTCAGGTATTTTCTTCTTGAGCTAATTTGTTTTTCTATAAAACTGCATGTTTCACCTAAGTTTTCAAATCTCTTGGCACAGAGTTGTCATCAAATATGTGGATATTTTAATACCTTTTTAAAGTTAAGACTCCTGTTAGGGTCAGGGTACTTATTTTTATAACTGCATTTAACTTTTCCTCTAAATATTGTTTCCACTTTACCCCCTAAGTTTTTATATTATTGTCCCATTTTAAATATTTTATTATGTGCATGTGACCCCCTCTTTATCCCAATCCTTCCTCTTACAAAGATTTTAAATGCCTGTTAATAGCGTGCATTTGTGTGTCCACAAATTGTGGTATCTATTTAAGCAATACTATCTCTGTTAGCAAGTATTCAATATTTGTCATTTCCTGGTGTAATTACCCAAAAAAAGGGTAATTTCTATGAATGTTCTGAGAGCCCAAATAACACTTTATGTACCGCCAGTGAGCGTGGCTCTCCGTACAGAGTGGGTCATATTTGCTGCGTTCCTGAGCCCTTTCATGTCCTTTCTACTCCTGTCATCTTCACCTTCCATTTGATAAATTGTAAATCTGTTGCGCGATGGTGATGTTTTCATTTCTCTCTGTAATTCTGTCAGTTTTTGTTCAGTGTACCCTGAGGCTGTGCTGTGGACCCCCGAGTTTACAATGGCAGCATCCTGCTGGTGGAGCCCTTTCCTCACCACAGGATGTGCTTCCTAATTCACCTCAACTTCTGTTTTGGCTGATACTAATGTTACTACACCAGCCTTTCTTCAGCCAACGTTTACCTTTTCGTACCCTTTCATTTTAAAAATCAATTTTTAAGTGCTCAGAAAGGCACAGTGACCCTCTGCGTACCCATCTCCCAGCACAGGAGGACAAAATGGGATTGAAATTCTTAGACTTAACTCCCCACGGGTCACTCCCTGCCCTCCATACAACACCCAGGAGAACGGGTTCCAGGCCTCCTCTTCACATCTTTATTGCACAGACTTAACACTGGAAACAACACAGAAGTCTGTCTTATGCTTCTCATTCTTATTTAAATAGCATCATAAGCTATGCATTATTCTGAGGTTTGCAAATTTTGCTCAACATTTGTGAGATCATCTCTGTTGACAAATTTAGTTCTAGGTCATTCACTTTCGCTGTTATACAAACAGATCTCACTTTCCTCATCATTCTCCGGACGACAACCATTCAGGTGGTTTCCAAGGTTACGTCATTACAGATGCTGCTGTTGCAGTGGTCAAATACATCTCTTTACCTTGGGCAAGACACCATCCAGAGCACGGAAATGCCACTGAGCAGGCTGTAGGGCACTGGATATTAGGAAATGGCATTCCAAAAGGATTCTACCAACAGCACAGCCACATCTTCTCTAAAACCCCTTTTGTTCCCTTTCTGAACTTTAGCTACACTCACTGGTGGGAAAGGTGATCTGAAAGGTTCTCATGGTGGGCTGAATTTCCATCTCCTTCACTGCAGTAAATCAGTCATGACTAATTAGGCACATCAGCCCAGTTTCCTTTTCCCTTGCTTATATCTTTAACACTTTCCTACATTACCTGTTGTTATGGTTGATACATTGTGTCAACTTGGGGAATCTAGAGGCTTGACTAAGTGACTCAGCAGTTCTACATCCTGGGGTGAAAAGGACATGCCCTTCCTGTTCTAGGAGATTGTGTCAGTGTGAAAAGTTTAGGTTAACTATGTGATTCACCAGGGAGCCTGTCCAAAGAAAACACATAGAGATTATGCGAGTGCCGCCCTTTGGGTGGGGCTAGCCTACTTCAATATAAAAAAAGAAAAGCGGCTTGCTCTTCTCTGTCATAACCCACGATGCCCTTGTTGCTTGGCTATCTTTTGCTGCCATAAATCTTTGCCCTCTGACTTGTGCCACTCTGCCTCAAAACCAGCCAAATACAGACTAAAACCTCCACAAACTGTAAGCTAAATAAACCTTTCCTTCCTTAATTTTGGGCGTTGGGTATTTTGTCTCAACAACAAAAATAACCAAGACACCACGTCTTTTTGATTTGTGAAAAGTTCTCTATACATTCTGTAAGTTAATCCTTTCTTGGTTATTTGAAGACACTAGAAATGTCTTCTCCCTTGTCTCTGGGTGTTCTCATCATCTTTTAATGCTGTCTTTTGATTCACAGTAATCTTAATGCAATCAAATTTGTCCATCATTTCTTTTATAATCTGCATCTTTAGCTTCTTTAAAACAGCCTTCCCTGCCTGGACATTGTTAATAACAATATCCTCATGTGTCTTCTAAGATTTTTAGCTTTCTTTGGATTTAGGACTTAATCCATTGAGAATCAATTCCTGTACCTGATACAAGTAGGAATCTCGTTCCATGTGTTCCTTTATAGATACAAAATTGTGCCCCACCATGTGCAATGACAGTGCTTGGCTTTTTCTGTGTACACAAATACTGCATCTGTGAATGATGACATTTTTCTTTCTTCTTAGTCCTGAGAATCTTTATTTCATTTTTCCTTATTTTATGGTACTAAGACCACTTACACTGATGTGATCTGCTACTAGTTTGTATTTGGAAGGAGGGTTGGCTTTTTTTCTTTAGAAAAAACAATTTTCAGGCATGTCAAACTTGCACAATACACAGCACACACTCCTCACCAGCTTCTGCTATGGTCAGGCTGCCAGGCTCATTTCACTAGGATGCTCACTCAGCTTTTGCGGGAATTTTCCTCTATAATCTGGGAATAGGATGAGTTACACCTGTGGACATTCTGATAATCTTGGTAGATCATGGTAAATGATCTTACATTCTTTGAAACGCTCGAGAGTTCATTACATAGACAGTTGCGGACCATATCTAGACTTGATTCCTGTATTTCCCCTCTGGGGTCGCTCCGTCTTTTCCTCTCCCTCTTCCCCTCTTCTCCCTTTTCAGTGTTGGGGATCTAACACAAGGCCTCATTCATGCTAGGCAAGAGCTATGTCACTAAGCCACAGTCCCACCCAATCTCTTTTTTGCCCTCCATTCCTAAGGCTCCCACTTCTGCTTATCCCAAATATCCGGTCATCTGTTTCCACACTGCAGCATGCTCAGCTCTTCACATCTTCCAACTGTCACTCCTTTCCCCCTAGGATCATGTCCAGAGTGTAGTCCATCTCTATTCTTTAAACTGAATAGCTGTATTTTCTACTTCTAAGACTTCTATTGTATTCTTTGTCTCAGTGCCTTTTTCCATGATTTGGGGTTTATATGGGCTCCTCCTCTACCTCTTGAAAGATCACAAGCACACAAGATCACCATCCCTTTTCTTTGGGAATGGTTCCACCTCCTGACCATGGGTGCTGCTGTTTCTCTCCTGGGATGTTGGTGTTTAGCAAGTTTTTGTTTGTAGGTGACCATGAATAAAGTGGATATATTTTCCCCCGTCTCTCTATCCCCACTCCCAGTCCAGTTTAGAAGCAGGGGCTCCCTTCCTGGGAGTTTAAGCCTCTGGTCTGGAGGCTTCCTGTGGAGATTACAGGCCTGTCCTGGCCCACAGCTGTCCTGGTCCAGCCCTCTTTCTAGTATCCTTCAGCTCTCTCCCCTCAACTTCTGCAGAAGGGCCTGGTACCTTCCCCAAAGGTCACTGTGGCCGAGCCACATTTATATTCATCTGAGGTTGTGAGTCTCACATACCCAGCCCATCAGCCTCTCACCAGATGCATCCCAGTGCCTGGGCCTTTGCTATCTTCACTGTCTAAAGACTCTGATCACAGTCCCTGCTGAGGGAAGGGCCACTTTTCCTCCTAACTGTGGCTACCTCCTCACTGTGCTCAGACCTTTTCTGGCAACAGAAACAGAAAGCATCTAATTGCCGGCCTGTCACCATCCTTCTCTAGAGCCCCCTCCTGTGACTGCTGTAGGCAAGGTCTATTCATCTGGCCTGCACAGCCCTTCCAACCTGGCCCTGGATCCTGGTACTATCTGTAGCCACACCATACACCATGCCCGGGATGCACTCCTTCCAAATCCCTTGCCCTGCTGCCTGGGCAGCCTGGTTCTGCCCACATGAAGAAGAGCCATCCCTATTACAAGTGAAGCACACTCCTCAAGGCAGCCCATGTGAGGCCCCTGTCGGTACTGCTCTACTCTGCTCCACTGAAGCCTCAAGTTCTGGAAGCCACTGGCCTGTGAGCAACACAGAGAAACACATGCTTCAGTGAGAGAAAGGAGCACAGAGGGAGACGACAGGTGCTGCCTGCACTCAGAGGAGAGGCAGTGTCGCCCAAGGACGAGACAGAGGAAGGAGGGTCGAGCACTGCACCAGGTCCTGACAGGCTGGACATGTTCCCCTGGAAGAAGAGCTGATTCTGTGTGGTTGTGACCAAGTTGATGGCCACAGGAGAAGACATGAGAAAGGGGACAGTCATGAATAACAGTGGGCCACACCACTGGGACCAAATCACTCTCATGGCCAATCACCTCGGTTGGTTTAGTTTATTTGTGGGAGAGACTTCCTCTGTTTGAGAAAGTGGAAGGCCAAGGCTGCTCCTCACACATGGGCTCAGCATGAGCATGTGCAGCCTATGGGAGCCTCCCTAAGGGTCTCCATGGGTAGAACCACAGCTGCCCCACTCCACCATCCACAAAGGCATCATGAGGCAGAAACACAGCATCACCTGACTGGCACAGCCAGACCTGGCAACACTTGTACGGGAGAAAGTGCCAACGCAAGAGTCCCTACAAGGGGCCCCTCAAAAAAGGCAGAGGTCACTCAAACAACAAGACCTCTACCATACAGAAAAGGGGTCCTCCTAGTGCTGTGGCGGACATGTTTCCCAGATGCAAGAGAACAAAGGCACCACTGGGCCTGGAGGAGTTTAGGAAGAGCTCTGTATGTCTGTTTCCAGCAGACAGAAGACAAGTAATTCCAGATTCTTGGGGCTAAGAAATGCCCTGGTAGCTTGAAGCCTCATCCCCAGAGAGCTACACCTGCTCCTCAGGGCAACATCACAGCAGCTGGCTTCTCCCCATCCGGGTTCACACTCATGCTCTGCTTTGTGGAAGGTTCTGTGCATCTGGATTGTGCTGGAGAGCTAAGGAGGGGTTGACAGGGGCTGGTAGCCTTTCCAGCACCCAGGGGAGAGGAAAGCTGAGCAGACAGGGTCCTCACCTGGAAGACAGTGAGGATAGCAGCAGGGAAGGTGTCAAAGTTGGTCGTTGGAGTCTCATCTTGAAAGTTGAACCTGGAAAAACAGGAAGTCTTGGGCAGAGACAGCCCCACCAGAAGCACGAGCTGTACCTCACAACACGCTGTCATAGGCTGCAGGTGGGTGGCTTTCTCAGCATCACTAGCCCCTTCGAGGGCCTTCAGGAAGGGAAGGCAGGAAAGAAGCCCAGGATACCACCTACCGTGAGCTCTGCCTCCCCAGTAAGACGGGTCCTGTCCTCCCCTACCTTGACCCACTTACTGTCCCCCAAACAGCTGCATCCCCAGCAGAGCAAAGACCACGATGAACAAGAAGAGCAGGAACAGAAGGCTGATGATGGACTTCATGGAGTTGAGCAGAGACACCACTAGGTTACGCAGGGAGTTCCAGTACCTGCCGAGCAGAGGTATGATTGGAACCCTGGACTACGCCCAGATGTGACTATGCTCTCCTAACAGGCTCTTTGCAGCCACCCACCTCAATGGTCTTCTAAGCCCTGAGATGTCATGTGTGCATGTGCGCATGTGTGCATGCATGCATGTATGTCTCTGTCTGTGTGGCTGAGCTTCTCTCTGGAGTTCCAGGCAACCACTCAGCGTGAGGCCCAGGGGACCACAGACAAGCAGGCAGGCAGGCAGTGCTGGACTAACTCTCACACTCCTTAACCTACTCCTGGCCCTCTCCTTGGCAGAATGATGCCAACACCCATCAGGCAGCCAGGCCTAGACTTCATCCTCATCCCTCCCTCTCCCTCACTCCCCAGTGCCCAGTCAGCCACCCAGAGCCCTGCCCAGCACCACAGGAAATGGACCTGTGCTCAGCCCACCAGAGGAACAGCTGCACCAGAAAAAATGTCAGCATCACTTCCCTCATGACACGTCTGCCACACATGCTATCACTGAAGACTAGGACACCAAGCATGGGGAGCAAGGCCATGCAACTTTATCTCCCTGGCATCCACAAGCCCCTCCCTTCTCTCCACCCCCAAGCGCTCCTAGGGGGTAGAGAGTGTTGCTCCCTTGTTCACAACTAATCCCATGGCACATAGGCTCCTTCTGTCTGCTGATGCCTCACTGCTGTGTGATGGCTCTAACTGCTGTCCCCAGCCTCTGAGGACCCTTCCCAGGAGCCCACTCATATCACACCAGCACCCAGAACTCCCCAGCTCCCCAAGGAGCCATGCCCCCAGCCTCTGCACCTTGCACACGCTGTCCCACAGCCCTGGAATAGAAGGGGCGGAAGACAGACGCTAGTTTCACTGGGCATCCCTGTGCCCCAAAGTGGTGTCCTCTGTGGCATCCACATCAGAGCCCAGACGTGATCTAAATCCTCTTACAAGGGGCCTTAGGGTTGGTGGCAGGAGAGGCAGAAGTCTGGAAAAGGGTTCCTGTCTTTGAGTTGGTAGGAGCCAGCCTGCCTCAGGATAAGGGTCACCAGCCTCCTGGTAGGAAACATGGGCCCAAAGCTAAGGCAAAGCTGGCCTCTGTGGTCACTACCTTCATCCCTCTCAGCAGCAATGAGAAAGCAATGGAGGCCTGAGGATTCATTCCAGAAAATACTCAGGGCACATCTGTGGATCAAATTGCATTGAACTCTGCCTCAACCTTTTCTTTCTTCATACCCTCATATCTTCAGATGATTTGGGGTTTGGATTTAAAACAAATGAAAGAACAGCAAAACATTAATCTATCAGCAGAGACCACCTGTGAGCCCTGATCTTGCTAGAATCTCAGGGCCCCCAGATGCTACACTTGGCTGCTAAGGATCCTGCTCAGTTCAGAGATCCTCCAAAATTCAGGACAAGCTGGTCCTGCAGCCTGGCTATGGTAAGGTAGGCTGAGCCTCTGCTACTGATAAGACACTGTGGAGCGGGTCTTTCTCCCTCGAGAAAGGGAATTGCCATGCAATTCTGGCAGTGAGGGGCAGGGTCTCAGCCCAGGTCACTCTCACTAACTACATCACACTACCTCCCTATACCTCCATCTCTTCATAGGCAAAGGGAGCAACTCACTTGCAGAGTCAGAGACTCAAGTGAGACAAGGTTGAAAACAGGGTCTTGTCACTGTCATCACCAGGAAGACCTAGGGCCAGGAAGGAAGATGTAGAAAGCAGGCCTGGGAACAGCAGCCATGTAGGTCCTGGGTTGGCTCAGGCAGGGTCAGGGGCTGGGGCTCAACTCTACTTGCAGGGGTCAGGTTGCAAGATGGGTTGGCAAGACAATGGGAAATCCTCCATCTGAGAACTCTTCTACCAACTTTAAACCAAGTCCCCTTTGAGGGCTGGGAAGACGAGACTGGTGGTTTCAAGAGAGGGGATGGTATGAAATTGTGGGGGGCCAAATAACAGGAGAACCAGGAAGCATGTGCCAACACTGGGGTCAGTGGGGAGCAACCCTAACGACACATCTGGGCCCTGCAAGACTTGCTGGGGTGGTGCTCAAGCACGTATTATTTTATAACCAGCCTCTACAGTTAAACCAATGAGCCACAGAAAGAGCTGCCAGCCACCCTGCATTCCTGGGCGCCATGAGTTCCTGGACCTACACTGCCACTCTCACACACTGCCTCCAACCCACAACCCCTCCCTCCCAGAAGTACACAGATTACATACTTTGTGACCTTGAAGATCCTCAGCAAGCGGAGAGCCCGAAGCACGCTGATCCCAAAGGAGGTTCCCGGCTTGACTGCAGCCCACACCACTTCGAAGATGCTCCCCACAATGACCTGCAATGGGGGTGGCATCAGCCTTGGGGAGCACCCTGTGCACTGATTCATGCTCGCAGTGCACCAATGTGTGCCTGCATGTGTCCTGTGGATATGTGCCTGCACGGCTGCATCTCTCTGTAAGCGCTGACACTGCCTCCAGTTTCAAGCCAGAGAAGCCACCAGTTGTTCAGGCCACATGAACTCCTGTAACCTCTGGGAAGGCTGCAGAGCAGAAGCCCACTGATCCTTGTGGGAAAGAGAGGTCCAGAGGTCTGGTTGACGGCCGTGGCAGAGGAGCGAGTCTGAGCACACTCGGACTCGTCATGTACTCGGCACACAGAGTGAGTCGCCCTTCCTAGGCTGTCTGGCTCTGACCTCTTACTTCCGCACAGCCCCCCCCCCCCACCCCCGCCAAAAGTACCGCCTCCAAACCACGCCTCTAGCCCGCCTCCGTTGCTACGCCTCTAGCCTGCTCAATAAAATGCCTGGTACTTCTGCAATAAACCGGATCTGCGCCATCAGCCTGGTCTCCGGTGTCTTCTTTGCACCGTGTCGCCGCTTACCACGGGCCCAGGTCCCTCGACCCAAGGAGGTTCAACCTCAGGTCCTGACCTTTCTTCCTCTCACCCCAGACAAAACAGGGGGACACAGACCTGCTGGTATCCTGACAGAACTCTATCACAACCAGGTTATACCCACATCCTCTTAAATACCTCTGCGGCTAGACAAACTATCTCAGACAGACCTGACTAGTAAGCCGTTCTTTCTCAGACTAGCAGATCTGTCTTCCTGCAACTTCCCCTCCGTGGTCTTGCCATTGCTCCAAGATAATCAGTCTCATAAATTGTAAGTTGAATCTTTTCTTCTCCCCTTGACTAGGAGCCAGTATGTCAACAAGAATAGGCTGTGGCAAGCCTGCCCCTTGGTTTTACCATAGCCTTATCTTAGGTACTGCAGATTTGGGTGGGCCAAGACCTGTGAGCAAGGGGCATGTTCCTGCTTTCAGCTGTTCCTCAGAGAGGCTTTGGGAAGGACCATTCTAGAGGGCAGTGCCTGATGCAAGAGACAAAGGGCAGAGCAGCAGGACTGGAGCCCAGAAGCCCTTTACCATCTTTCTCTACATAGGACAAAGGGCCAAACTGGACTCTCTCTCCAGCTACCACACCGCATAGACACACTCAGGGCTCACAGTCAGTATGAACACCCATGTCCTCTTCATGTGTGTAAGTCTCATCCTCCAACCACACATCTGCACCTGGCATAGAAAAGTCAAATGCTGAGCATTAATCTCTTAGATTATGCTTTATTATCTTTATCTCATGGCTTTAGTCATTTCCACCAATTTTGTATCAACTGCAAAATGAACCAATTAGCATCAGTGGTCTCATCAAGACACTGAGAGAAGAATGAATGTGCCAGGACAGTGACCTACGCTACAGCATCAGAGACCTCCCCACAGGTTACCACTGATCTACCCAGGTATAGCACGTAGGGGCTGATGCAAATGTACAGCCTGCTGCACCTTCTCTACCTTCTCCACAAACTTGTCATTCAGAGAACACCAGCATCCTGCCCACTCCCAGACATCAGCATCTGCACACTGGCGATAATCCCATTATGCAACAAATGCAGCAAGCTTACTAACATCCATTCTTGGGGACTACCAGTTTTCTCTGCAGTAGCAAATATGGAGATGTTTGCCCTGGGCTGAAGACCAGTTTTCTAAACTTTTTTGCCTCTCACTGCCAGTCTTCCAGCATTTGTTGTTGTTGTTGTTGTTGTTGTTTTTCCCATCTTTTACTTTAAAACACTATATATATAGATACATGAATAGCCAGCCATTGACATAATAGTAAAAGAACAGCAGTAAAATGTTTGTTTGAGCAGCATTGTCAACATTAAACCAATACAAATGGGACAATATTAATATTCAAACCAATTACTAATGATTACCCATATTTAATGATTTGAATCTTTCATATTCTCATTTTTAATTGGTGCACTATCTCCAAAAGAAGCATAAGAGGTTTAACATTTCTGAATTTTCTGGAACTCTACCAAAGTCTAGTTTACAGTTTATGCTACCTCCTGTTTCTCCAGTTAGCAATAGTTAGCCTCTGCTGTATAGAATAAACCCATTTAACAATTCAAATTTTCAGGGAGAAATTTTTCCCCCATGAATTCCTTTAACAAATATAGTGTATGACATGGTATAGTTTTTAAATCATGCAAACTGTTAGACAAACTTTGGTAAACAAAGAGACTTCAGAAAAACATACTGAAGATACTTCATTTAAGAGGGTTATTATGTATGTACTGGTAGAAACAGGATGCCAACAGTAATAACACTAAAACGCTTAAAATTTGAAAAAATTCAACTTTTTTATCTTTTTCAGGGCAGGAGGGTGGCATTCTTATTGAAGAAATTTTCATTTCGGGAATGAGAGTTTGCTTAATTTCTCCAATTTCTGTTCTGCTCCATTCTTTTAATACTTGGCTTACTCAAGGATAAATTTGGACCTCGGGAAGTGGTCTTTGTTCCAAGATGTACATGCTGGCAGATGTTATCAATTTTTTCAAGAAATTTAAGTGAAGACTCTTCTTGTAAAGATGTTGTCAGTGTCATTAATTCAAGCTGTTGTTCTCTTATTTCTTTTGTTCTTCCAATATGTGGAGTATATTCTTGATTATCTGATTGCCAACATCACAGAGAGCTGTTAAAATTTTTTTTGTTCTAATGTAGCAATAAGCTCCTCAAAATATTGGAGAACAACTTCTTTATCACCCTGGATCATTTCCTGAGAATGAGACTTTTGTTCTGCTAGCTTTCAATAAGATGAGTAATACATGTCCAATGTGTATCAGTTAGTTGTTTCAGCAGTTTCTGAGGTGGGTCCTTTTCTTTCAGATAGGCACTTTGAAGGTCATCTATAGGATGACCATGATGTTGACCTACAGTAAGTCAATGACACAAGCTAATTTTTTATCTAGTAGACAATGAACATTTAATGGTTGCCTATAATGTTCAGGGCAGAAAACAACATCTGGATGGTCTTCTTGCTGGTACTTTCCAATAACAGCCCTTAATGCAAAATTAACAGGTAAAGATTCAATACCAGTTGGAGCAATTTCAATAATACTTCTGCAATTAGGACACTTGAGTGGAATTCTTAAAGGTCCCCACATATAAAAATTACCAGATGCCTGAAGAATGTTTTCCAAACAACTTCTACAAAATGTATGAGAGCGTGGTAGTATATGAGGATCTTCAAAAATACTGTAACAAATGAGTCATATTAACTCATCCTCAAAGTTGTGCACTTCCTATTTTGTTGGCCTCCTAATAAGGGTACTGAATATACTTTATCTTCTCCAACTTTTCCAGATTCTCTTATTTCAAAATCAATTGTATCCTTAATGTTTCAGACAATACCTTTTGTCACAGGAACAGCTATTAGTTCGCTAATTTTTTTAAAGTTTTTTTTATTTTAAAAATAAAAGAAAGAAAACATATTATTGCATGTCTCTATTTGTTTTCCTGAGAAACCACTTTGAAGATATCAATATGTAATACAACAACCACTGTTAATTTCCTACCACTTTGTCTGTAATTCAGTATTGCTTGTATTGTTTTTATGCTATTTTATAAATGGATGTCTAGTTCACTAATTTTGATGTCTGCTTCCCCTACACCGTGAAGGCGGGACCAGGCGAAGCCACGGCTCCAAAGTGGGGCACCCCAACTGGGTGCAGAGGGCAGTGACACGCTCTCAGCATTTCTTATTTTAACACTAATTCTCAAAAATTTTTCCCATTGGCCCATGTAGTAGGCAGCCTCCAAGATGGCCCCAGAATCCACCACCTGATGTTCGTTTTCTGTATAATCCAAGCCCTAAAGATGGGCTGGACCTAAGGACTTTTCCTAGCAAACAGAATACCACAAATATGATGAGCCATTGCCTCTGAGGTTAGGTTCAGAAGGACTCTGCTTCTGGTTTGGGTGCTCTTGGCTCTTTCTCAGTCCCCAGAGGCCATGGAGAAGCCCAGATGACTGGACACAGGTCTACCAACAACTTTAAGTGAGCTGAGAAGCTGATCTTTTAGGGCCAGTCAACAGCCACAAGCATGAGCTTAGAAGTGAATTATCTAGCTCCAAACAAGGCTGGGATGACTGAAACTTCAGTAGAGACTTTAAGCAAGGCCAGTTTTGTTCACAGCCCAATTCCTGATCCAAAGAAACAGTAAGATAAATGTTTATTGTTTTAAACTACTAAGCACTGGGATAAACTTATTCCCAAGGATGAAAAATCAACAGAGATTTTGGAAATAGAAGTATGGTGCTACTGTAATGAAAACTAAATTGTAGGAATAGTTTTGGAGTCAGAGAACAGGCATTCAGCAGTGTGTCCATGAAACTTATGGTGCCCTGAACACAATTTATAGTTTTGGACAGTAAGAATACCACACATCAGGAACTGCAGAGAAGTAAAAAGTAAAAAGACTTGCTGTATATTGGCAGGTATAGCCACTACTGCACATAGTTGTGGTAAAGAGAGAAAATGTGCTTTTAATGAATGAGGAGATCTCATTTCCCCCTGGAAATCCCCAAGCCAAGTGCTGTGCTGCCTGGTGTCCTCTTGTTGCTTATGACAAAGGTTCTCAAGAGGAAAGAGGTACACTGAGGAAAGTATCATTCAACAAGAAGAACTGAGGATATGCAGTTCTGAAAATGCTCACTCTCTCCAGATATAAAATGATGCCAATATTAAGAGAAGGTGTGATCCAAAGATGAAGCCAAAGGCAAGACTGGGATGCTCATTTACATCAAAGGCAGTGTTTGAGAGAAGCATTTAGTCACTCGTCTGGCACATGATGGCATGTTCCTATAGGCCCCAAGAGATACACTGTGCCTCCCAGCTTAGGTCCTGGGACAGCAAGCCCTTCAGAACCATAGGGTGTTGCCCTTCAGTCATCTCAGCAGACACGCTAGCAGCCCAGACTAACTTAAAGAGCTGTGGGAATGGCTTCTGTCTAACAGACTGAAGCCCAAGCAGGTTCCTAACATATCCACAAAGATGTTCTCAAATACTCAAAATATCCTTAAAAGACATAGATGTAGAAACATCACCTGGGATTGAAAGGGGCCAGGAGAATACAAAACAAAAATAGATTTTTGGGTTCCTCAAATTCTACCATTAGAAACAGACAAAAAACTATTCAGCTGAAAATAGGTATACCCTTCGAGAAAAGGGTGTGCCCCAGACCAGAAGAGCTGAGCACAGATCACCAGCACTCATCCGGCTGGGTGCAGAATGGCTATAGGTCAGTAGCTCTCTTAGCTTGCCACTGGCCCTTTTCTAAACAGGATGTCTATGGCAGCTATCCCAAGTCTGTCTCCAATGGATACTGAACGCAGAGGTTGATGATATGTCGAGTTTCACAGGGTGACAGATAAGAGGAATTGCAAGCACTGTACTTGGGAAGCTACACTTATGATGCCTGGACCACGCCCATGGCACCTTAACCACACACGGTACTTGGACCACACCCATGGTACCTTGGCCACACCCATGCACCCAGACAACACCTATGGTTCCTGAACCACACCCATGGTGGCTAGACTCACTGTGCCTTGACCACACCTGTAGCACTCCGACCATACCCCTAGTACCTCGGCCACATCCACAACATCCAGACCATACCCATAGTGGCAAGACCACACCCATGGCACCTTGACCACACCTAGACCTGATTGAGATGAGATTCTGCACTTTGAGCTGATGCTTCAACAGGGACAGACTCTGGGGAGCAGGGACAACTGAGTGTATCTTACATTGATATGGATGGGAATTACTAGGGCAGTCTGTGGTCGGCAGCCTGAGATAGTCCTTGTGACCCTTGCTGCAGTGTCCAAACCTCTAAGCTGTGGGCTGGACCTCCTGACAACTCAGTAAAGCTGATGGGATTTCTCTTTGAATTTAAGCAGCTTCCACTTGGTTCCTCCCCATTTTCTCCCACCGCCACCCCAACTGTCTCAGCTCACAGGTTGCCATGCTGTGAAAACATGCAGGGAACCTAAACAGAGGTTTTGTGACCCAGAGCCAAGCCTGCTGGCAACCATGTAAATAGCTGAAGAGCAAATTCTCCAGTGCCAAACAAGTCTTGGAATGACTACAACTCTTCAACTGGCTCGAGGCCTCAAGGGTGAACATGGGCCAGAGGTACTCAATTAAGCCACACATTAAGTCCTGACCCAGAGATGTGAGAGAACAGGTTTTAGTGGTTTAAAGTTGCTACACTTTAGAATAACTTGTTAGCTATATGCAGAGTGTCCCAGGTCCTGTGATCTTGTCAGCTGGGAGCAGAAGATTCACACACATCCAAAAGGTTCACATGTCTCATGTCGCCTTGGCCAACATTCTAGTCTTTCTTTGTGACCAGGGAGGTGCCGGCTAAGAGGAGGGGATTCCTCATGGCCATCTCTCAGAGCCACAGGTGTCCAGGAAGAGAGCCTCAGGCAGCATGGTCCAGTATAAACCACAACTCAAGGACAGAAGCTGACTCCCCACAAACTAGCAGGGCAGCCCCAGGCCAGCTTCAAGAGTTAGTATGAAGATCTCAGGATACTGTGGACACAGATGCTCTGCTAACTGTAAGCTCCACTGCCCAAGAAAGGAGAAGTTCAAGTCAAGGTGAATCTTTAAGCTGAACCTTCTCCCGTAAGCCCAGGAACCCCCAGTGACTGTAATTCTGCAGTGCGCCAGATCCATGCCATGCATTCTACCAACACCAGCAGGGATGACTCCTGTGCAGCCCCTGCCCTGATGCCTGGTCTGGAAACTCATAGTGAGCCATGGCTACTGGACCACACCCATCCTGCCCTAAAGCTTCCCTGACCCAGGCCCACCATACCCCTCACCTCAAAGAGGACAGAACCACCCAGTGGTGAGATCCACAGATAGTAGAGTCAGAAGCACAGCCTCCTACCTCTGCTAGGGACTGACCCTTCTGCAGGTGATCAGATGCCAGTACAGAGAGCACTATAGAGCCCTCAGCTCACCATGCATCTGTGACAGGACTGGAGGAAAGGATGATGTCCTGCAGCAAGGTGTGGCTGCACTGCATCCACCTCAGTCAGGCCAAGGAGTCAGGCTCTGCCACCTCCCTGTACCTCCCAGTCTTAGGCAGCCTTTGGGACCACAGAGCTCAGCGCACATAGGGTACATACATGGAAGGGGTGGTGTACATTGACTGTCAGGACACCCCTCCAGGCATCAGACCCCCAAAGGAACCCTGTACAAGGTGTCACACTCACCCCAAAATCAAAGCAGTTGAAGGAAGACCGGAAGTAGCTTCTGGGCCCCAGGCCATACATCTTCAGGGACATCTCTGTGAGGAAGAGACCCAGGAAAACAAACTCTGCAAAGTCTAAGAGAAGTTGGAGAAGGTGGGGTTAGAGCTAGGCTCCTCCTGGCCTCCAGCTCAGACCACAGGACACCACACCACAAGGTCTTGCTAGGGTTGAGCCTTCTGGGCCTGGTCTGAGCCCCCATGCTCTGAAACCTCAGCTCAGAACAAAGAATGGTTGAAAGGGACACAAGAAACACTCATCCCAGTCCAGACAGTAATGAGTCCCCATAGCCCATGGGACACAGTTCCAGGACCTGCTCAGAAGTGAGACCCAAGGTCAGAGGGGACATCCTCAAGGGGCTGCCAGGCTGTGGACCAACACTCTGACTGCAGATGGGCCTCTCATCCTCCTTGTCAGCTGCCCTGCCTCCACAAAGACTTGCTGACACTCTCCTTGGGACCCCACAGCACCATGTTGGATTTTAACTTTGATCATGTTTCTGGCCCACACAGAGGGAGACCACCAATACCCAAGCAACCTGGGCCCTCCAACAAGAGCCCCAGGGGAAACAAAGCAAGCCAAGGGCCTGTGAAGCCCGCTCCTTGCTGTCAGTGAATGAGGGAGACAGAAGGTGGCTCAACCCAGAAGTCCCAGCACTAGCACTGCCATTACCTCCAGGGACTCAGGCCTAAAAAGCCATGCTGATGCTGGAGGTACACAAACTCAACCAGCCCAGCCCAAGCAGAAGGAGAGTCAAAGCAAGAGAAGGCAGTGACTCCACAGTGATTCCAGCACTAGCTCTCAGGTGGCAGAGCGTATGCGCGGGAGCCAGCGGAGCCCAGCTGGACTCGAGGTGACTCCCTGGCCCCTGGATGTCCACTGCCTGAGGCCACTGTTTTTTCCTCCTACCAAAGTGGTATCAGCTGATTACTTCATCCCAGAGGCCAAGGGCACCCTGGTCTCCAACCAGGGCAGCAGCTCTGAGACTAGAGCAAAGCCAAAGGAAGGAATAAAGGCAAACTACTCAAAGACCCATGAGTGGTCAGGGGCCATCTCAGCCTTCCCGGGCCTCTGTCAGGACATGGGACCTCAAACAAACACAGTTCCTGATGAAACAGACAATGGGGGAGAAGCCATGCACTTCCCATCCCTGTGCACCCTGAAACCTGCCTCTCCCCACAGAAGCAACACTCCTGATCCACAAATTACTGGCTCCATAGCTCACCTGGCACTGTACAAACAGAGGGGAGGGAACCTTCCCCCACTGGCCTGAGTACCTGGACAACCAGCTGCTGGAAGAAAATCTCTAGGCTCCTACCCTGAACACAGGACAATAACAAGAAGCTGAGACACTACCTGGAGAAGCCACACAGGCCAATGGCAGAGGCACAGATGCCACTGACTCGCAGGCTGCGCCTGCTTGAGAAAGAAGCATTAGCTCCAGCGAGGCCTGACGCTTCCTGGCTGTGCCCACACAGTCCATCTTGGGTACCCCAGCAGATGCAAGTGAACATAGCAGCCTGCAAAGATCCAGTGCTCCTGGCCAGGAAGCCAGAAGCCCAAATCCCTCCCCACTCATCAGAAAGGCTCAGCCTATGCCCCCAGGCTCCTACGCACATAGGGCCATTTTGGAAAAGCCACAGGACAGCACTGCCAGGTACCCACAGGGTGCCTCAGGGTGCTGCCAGGCCCTTCGTTTGCCTCCTGAGGAATCAGCATACAAAAACTTTGCAAGGAGCTGGTACAAGAATTGCCAAAGTGAAGCCTTCAGAAAAAGAGATCAGAAAGCCCAGTATACTGCTGGGGTGGCTCAGCCTCAAACACCCTATCTTCCTTCTGAGGCCAACAAACGGTGCTCATTCACTCATTCCTGTATCAGTCATTCAACTAGCAGGCGCTGGTGCCACTATGAGCTGGCCCACGAGAGGTTCACCCTTCTCTCCAGGAGTTCACCAGCCAAGGGAGAAGCTGAGGAAGACAGTTAAAATAGTGTTCTGTGCAGTAAGAGGCCACTGTGCTATGGGAATGGGGAAGGCAGGGTAGTCTGTCTCACGGCTCACAGGACAGTGAGGACTGACAGCTGTCCTTTCACATACAAGTGTGGGTTCTGAAGGTCCTAGAGGAACACTGGGGTGAGTCCTCCATAGACAACTACTAGGGTACACAAAGCCCTATCCATAGGGTGCAGGCCTCAGGCCAGGGCCTCCTGGTGAGTCTGCTCCAAGCCCGCCCTCTCCTACTATGTCAGCCCAGCTGTCAAACACAGAACCTGGGCATGAGCAGAAACACCCAGATCCGGCAAACACCACCTCTCCCTCCTGCCATTTTCCCTTAGTGAAGCCAGAAGAGCCAGGAATTCCAGGAAACCACAGAAAAAGAGCAGAAAAGGGCATCCCAGCCTGGTGCTCCCACCCATCAAAGGCACAACCAACCAGGCAGGCTCTTCCCCAGCACTTACTGGCTAGCTCAGGCAGCAGCAACCCAGCAGTCAGGACTGACTGCAAGATAGGCATAGCACCATCCTGAGTGGGAGGAACAGGCCCAGCTGTCTGGTGAGGAGGAAGTGGATCCCTTGCCTCTTCCAACCCCACTGGGCAGACCCAAGGGAGGCACTGAACTCAGTCCTTAGCCAAGTCCTGATACCAAACTACTGACCCAGGAAGCAAAAACTAGAGCCAAACAGGCTACTCCAGGACACACACAGCGGCCTCAGCTATCCCACCCCACCTCATCTGCTGGTATCCCTCAGCTCCTAAGACAAGCACAACTGGGATCCCCATGACTGCTGCCTTTTTGCCCTTTCCTTACGAGGCAAGTAACAGTTCAACACAGAAGTTGGGGAAGCTGTAAGCCAGATTCCCACCAGCGCAGCCTAGGGGCACCCATCTCCTGTGGAGCCATCAAAGTCTGCAAAGCAGCCTTCAGCAACTTAGAGGTTTTCTGGTATACAAGAGGGTGTGGCTGCCTGTAGGACTGTGGTGCAGTCACCACTGGGGCAGAATGTCAGGCAATGAGCCAGGACTGGGGACTAGGATGGCTGCTCTCTAGGTCCAAAAAGGCTCTCCTTGGTGCGCTAGGTAGCTTCTGGCACACAGGTCCTCCTAGAGATAGCCTGACCCTCCTGGGACCCCCAAAACAGGCTTTGCTCCCCAGAAACATGGTGGACATCAACCAGCGTGAGTACAGCCAACCCCTGGGTGGGGGTGAGGCTCATAGGGCCTAGGCCTGGGGTCAGCTCAGCGTGTTGGTTCTGGACAGTCACAAGAAGCCCCACTTTCTGGCATCTTCCTCCTTGCCTTCTCTAAGCTATAGCTGGGACCAAGACAAGCATAACCGCAATCCCCATGATGGTTCTTAGACTCATGGATACAGGACACAAGTCAGCTCTGGTCATGAATAGTCCCCTACCCTGTCCAACCAATGGTAAAGGAGAATGGAAATGACCCCAAGGGGCTGAGAGAAGAAGAAGCAGGACTCTGCCTCCTCAGAACTCCAGGGCAGGAGCCACAGTCTCAGTGAAGAAGGAGCATGACATGAAATCATCTGGTCTATGAGTCTAAGGCTCTTTTGAGAAGGACACAGGTCTGCCTGGCCTGGCTGGCCCTGTCACCTGGGCAACCAAAACCCCTTGACCTGTATCATATCAGCCAAGACGTGCCTCCGGGGGGCAGAGGGACCCTCAAAGCCTAGACACAGCTTAGGCCCCAGCAGAGGACACAGGGCTGGCCAGGTCTGCAGTAGATAGGGGTCCCACCCCACCCAGAGCCTCCAGGAAGAACCAGGTATGGGACTGGGCTTCCTGGCTACAGAGCAGGTCAGTGCAGGAAGTGCCCTGGGTACATACATAGCGCCGTGGTGAGCCGCTGCGGCTGGTTGTAGTGTACCATGGCCACACACAGCGTATTCAAGGCCACCACACACAGCACCACCCAGTAGAAGCTCTGCGCCTTCACCATGCGTCGGATAAAGAACCGGAACATCTTCTCCTTCCTCCGAAAGTACGATGAGCTCTCTGTCTTCCCACTCTTCAGGCTGGTGCGGGTGAAAGGGGACCCTGTAGAACAAATAGCTGGCTGAGGACACAGGGGGCCAGCAGGCCCCCAGAGCTCAGGTCACTCTCCCTGTGGACACAATTTGCAGGCCACGCCCACCGCCATGGACACGTCCCTCCCCCTTGGCCAGCCACAGAACACTGTGGCTATCTCTGCCACAGCCTGAGGGTTCTGGCCCTACCCTCACCGGTCAGATGAGGAAACAAAGGCCTGGATGATTCTCATGTCTACTGGGCACCGGATGGGAGAGCTGGACTGTGGCCATCACTATCTGTGATTCCTAGCACTCGGCTACTTTCTGGGAAGGCAGCCTTGATGCCCCGACACTCTGCAGGCTCTCCAGATTTCAACAGGACGTGCATCAGCCAAGCCAGTCCCTCCCTACATCCAGCCTGCGTCCTGCAGCACTGGTTGATATGGAGTCAGCATCACAGGCCCCCATAATGCACACACATTTATGTATGTGTATGGCTGCTGTCCTGCCCACAAAGCACCACATCCTCACCATCTGGGGCTGAGCTGGCCCTGCTCTACTCTGACTCCTGGTTCTCTCTCCCTGCTCATCCCAACCACAGTGCCTCCCTTCCACACACCACCTCTGCTCTGCCTCGGCCCTCCCATCCCCTGAGCTTCTCTCTATGCCTCCTTTCTATGGCTGGTTCCTCAGCATAGTTCTGGGCTTCAATGTCACCTCTACAGGCACCCTTCTCAGGTGCTCCATCTAAAACAGGGTTCCCCTTGCCACCGCAACTGTAATGTGACCCCATTATCCCATCACTATGGTTGCCTGCTGGCCTATCCTACGTCCAGTTTCTAGTCACAAGCTCCCTGGACGGCACCACATGGTCTTTTAACCACTGAGCCCCTTGCACAGTGCCGAGCTCAGTGAGCATCTGATGCACAAACGAATGGCCTTCATGGGGGCCCAGGGGTCCTGGTGCCCCTGTGTCTGGCAATGTCTACCAGACACATTCTCTGCAGCAGAGCACGCCTGCACCCAGGGAGAGTGTATCTACTCTGAGCACTAAGGATCTGCGCATGGGTCTCTCTGGGATGTCCTCTGAGTAAGCACACAGCTGCCCACCCAGGGCCTTGCAGGGGGCTTTATCATGCAGGTCTGTCATAGGGGTCCCTGTGCACATATGTAGGCATATGTGAACATGTGCATTTCTCACACATATGTAATATGCACCCAGGCTCAGGGCCTGGGGATATAGCTCAGTGGCATAAGCACCTGCCTGGCAAGCGCAAGGTTGTGAGTTTGATCCCCGGTACCATAAAAAAAAAAAAAAAATGTACCCAGGCTCTCGGTGGCCCTGGAAGAACTCGTCTCTGATGGGGAGATGATGTCTAGAGGGCCCAGAAAGATGGCCTCAAGGAGTGTCCATCAGCCAGGGAATGGCCTGAACAAAGTCCAACCAAAATGCCCAACTCTGGATGCCATACCTGACCCCACCCACAGAAGGTACTGCTCCACCCCAGCCCTCCTCCCACAGCCTCAGTCCTAGATGCTATTGGGGCAGCCACTACCTCTTAGTGGGAGCTGGCTCACTGGCAGGACTTCTCAGTCCTGCTGGGTGCAGAAAACTGCCAGCAGCCCAGATAGACACCACCCACACACAGGTAGCAGCCTAGGGGGGCACACAGCAGCACAGACAGGGACAGGCCTAAACACAGGCAGAACATGCACAGCCCATAGCAGCCTTCACACCTTCACCCAGTCGCACATACACATCTGACTGCACAAGCCTGGCCCAGCCAAATATGTACTTACACAGGTTTCTCAGCATGCACACCAGCATACACCCACGAGCACAGACAAGGCCACCCTGGGAAGGAGGGTAAAGAGGACCCATGAGTCGCACACACTGCTCTGTGCACACATAGCCAAGTCCGTGGAGACTCCACGGTCACCCCACATGGCTCAGCAGACATACCCCGTAAGGACTAGCCAGCTCCCCATATGGAAGGCCTCACAGGAACACACCCATTCACTAATGCCTGTCCACACACTGTACACATGTCCACCTGTGCCCATACACATACACAGACATGCACAGTTGTGCCAACAGCCAGATCTGTGTGAAACCACACTTCCCCTACACTGTCGCCGAAGACCCGCAGTTCCTGACTGTACCCACACACTGAAAGGCTAGAGGAGGGGGACCTGCAGAGACTCTGCTCCTCAGGACACCCATACTCCAGGCCAGCAGCTGGATAGAGACATGCCACCTAGCTCCACACAAGCCAGGACATGCTGGGTCCAGGAGTAGGGACCCCAGGTTGACACTCCTGCAGAGTACTTTCTGTGTCTGGGTCTCTGGGGTAAAGGGTGCAATCCCTGCAGATGGCATGCAGTCAGTAGCTACTGTGTACTCCATTCTGTGATGGGCAGTGGCCCCACCCAGCTCTGAGAGGAGCAGGGTGTCTACCAGAAGTGGAGAAATATGGCACTCAAATCACAGCTTTCACTGGAAAACCACTTCTTTTCAATGTTCTTAATCAGTATATACTTTCTATAATAAAAACATTAATGTCCTTTTTTTTTTTTTTTTTTTTTGGTCTTTTTGAGACAGGGTCTCACTATGCAGTTCAGGCTGGTCTTGAACTCACTTTGTAGCCCAAGCTATCTCAAACTTGCAATGATCCTCCTGCCTCAGCCTCCCAAGTGCTGGAATTACAGAAAAAGCTAATTTCAAGAAAAAAATCTGGTATCTTCAAGCAAAGGGAAAATGAGAAACTGAAGCAGTCTGTGAATGACAGCAGAGTTCAGCACAGGAAGAAGGCCTGATGCTGGCACATATGTGCCTCCCTTCTCCTGGGTGCTGCAAGGTAGGGTGAGTTCATACTAAGTCCTCAGTAGTCCTGGGCAACACTATTTGTTCAATAAACAGGTAGACTGTTTGTATCAGGCCCTGAACACGGCACAGAAATCAGATCCAAATTCACCCTGCCCTCAACTCCCAGTGGCCAGTAAGGAGGCAGAGAAGTTCCCTATGAGCGTCCCTGTGACTAGCATGGGGCAGTGAGAGTGACATGGATTGAGCAACAAGCCAATGTGGACCCAAATGCGGTTACCCCTTGCCCTGATGAAATCACATGGCCTAGAAACTCTTCACTTAGAAATAGCACAAACTGCCTGCCACACGGAGTCAGTTAGGATAAATGAGACAACTCAGGGCCTGAAATCCACCTAGCAGCAAGGAGGTGAGTATAAGTAGTATCCTGAAACAGAGCGGAAGTATAGGGACAGAAATTGTAAGAGACCTAAAGGAGCAAAGCCAGACATAGCACATGAAATGACAAGAGTTCTGAAAGTAAAGACAGCCAGGAAAGGAGATGAGGTAATTAGACAATGGGAGAAAACATTCCTCACTGAAGCAGACCTGCCCCTTGTTTCTAGACACCAGGCAGAGAATAGGTCACTGACAAAGCAGCAGCCAGCAGCACCCAGTGCCCCATGTGTCGCAGGAAGCTGGAAGACAAAGTGACACCCACAGAGGCACAGCAACCCAGGTGAGGACCAGGGAGGACTCCTGAGAGCACGTAAGAGATCAGACCCTAGCGCATACTGCTTCAGAGAGGGTCTCCAAGGGCAGAGCAGGGCTGACGCCGAGGACGTGGGCCTGTGGTGAGCCACAAAGGGAGAAGAAAGCATGCTGAGATTCAAGTAGGGGCTGTAGTCAGGCCTTAGGAACATGCGGCAGAGGCGGAGACCAACCACTTGGTCCTGGGGACATCCACAAGGCACAAGGACAGTGACCCAGCCCCACCAGGGGTGGGGTGAGTGCAGGGGAAGCCCTTACTGAATGGGGCTGAAACAGAATAAATGGACACAGAACAACTCAGTGATGGAAATAAAGCATCTTGGTAGTGAGACTGGTAAATAACCAAACTAAAACAGTAAAGAATTACATTTCTAACTGTGAAACCAGAGAAGGGAAGATACCATTTGTGGAATGGAAAAAATAGACATTGGGAATTAACAAGGGCAAAGAGGAAAGTAAAGATTATTTAAAACTGACATAAAGGAGAAATCACAGCAAAGCTTTATGTAGAGAAAGATGCACAATTTAAAATGCCTTCACTATCAAAGAAGAAAAAAAAGAACAAATTATATATTTGTAAGAACTAGCCAAATAATAAACAGAACAGTAGAAAGATAAACTTGAATATACAAAAGAAAATAAAGCTCCCCCCTTGGAGCTGAGCTGAACCTCAGACAGTTTTGGGAACTCCGGCGAGCTGCTGCTGCCCCCACCACACACAAGCTTGGGAACCAGGCAGAAACCCGGACAGCCTTAGGGACCTGGGGTCCACTCCCTGCCCCTCCCCTCCTCCCCTCCCTCCACTCCCTCGCCTCCTCCCCTCTTTCCCTGTTGGGAGCTGAGTGGAACCTTGGACACCTTCAGGAACACTGGTGAGCCGGCCCCATCTCTGCCCCACCAGCTTGGGAGCCAGGGGGAGGCCCAGACCACCTCAAGGTCCTTGGGTTCCCCTCCCTGCCCCCACCCCACACCCTCAGGGGAGCTAAGCTGAAATTCAGACAGCTTCAGGGGCCTCAGTGACTGCGCACTTATTCCCCCACTCATGTGGGAACCAGGCAGGGTAAGGACAATGTATGGAGCCACAGTGACCACTACTACACCCCAGTGGAAATAGGGCTGAAACCTGGACAGCTTTGGGAACCCCTGAGTGGAAGCCAAGCCGAGCTTCAGACAGCTGTGGGAGCATCAGGGATCACATCTCCCCACACACACACACACCATAGAGGGAGTCACACTGAGCACCAGGGACCTTTAGGGTCCTTGCCCTGCTATGATGACACCATCCTGGGAGTGACACTGAGCTCCAGGGAACCTCTGCATCTCTGAAAATGACAAAATAAAGGAGCAAAATGCAATCATAGACCTCTACCCCACCCAGAACAAGTCCAGGAAATATTGGCATAGAAGAGCTTAGAAGTCATACACCTGAAATTTCTAAAATGATAGCAGCTGAA